ATTACCTTAATTATCAGCCTGGGTTATTTGAGGCCAGTAAAGGGCTTAAATGAATTGTCTATTTTATCTTTTTGACCACACAACAACCTCTGGTGTTGAAAAATGAAATGCCCATTTTTACAGCGGGAAAAAAAGTTTACTGCCTAGCATGTAAACCCGTTTAGTCTCTAACTAATTACTTTACTGGTAAAAACAGTTTTTAAAAACTGTATCTGTTTGGAGGCAAAACATGATTTAGCTTAGCAAAATCCTGTTACTGATCTCAAGCTCTTGTTGTTTCATTGTTTGGAATATGTTCGCTGTCGAGCCAGATGGGCGTGTTTCACAAACCAGGATACTCACTTGGGGCAGCCTTAACTCCACCTCTTAACCTACTTCTGGATTAGCAAGACATTAGTTGGGATCAGCATTTCCGACATGGCACCACCATTGTTGGGCTTCATAATGTCTTTTAATAATCGTAATAATCGGGTGTTGCCACTGAGACTAAGGCCATGCGTTAAACGGTCTGTGTTTATGACTCCTCCACCACATAAAAAGCTGCGTCACCCTCTTTAATTTATAGCAGGCATGACGTCTTATCTGCTACATTAACACAATTCACAGGTTTGTTGACTCACACCTTGTCGTTTCATTTTATTTCCGTTCAAGGTCCACCATCTGCCCTATATGCTTAGTATGAGGACACAGAAAATGTAGCACACTGGATGTATATAGATTAGCACATGTGAGAACAGGAGATTATATTCTGGAATAAGCATGGCAGTTTATAAGTACTGCTCAGGTTATTCTTCCACCCTGGAAGCTTGACGTTTTAGATCTTCTAACTAAAATCTAATTTGGATCGCTCATTCATCATTGTCTGAGCTTGAATCGGTTATGCTTGAATAGCTCTGCATCTAAATGAACTGAAAACCATCAATGAGGGTTTAGCTGTGTATTAATGATGAGCATTATAGACTTGCATCAAGGCATAAAATAACACACTGATGTCTGTTTTTTCACTCTAGGTATAACGTGGGGTAAAGTAGTGTCCATGTTTGCAGTGGCTGGAGCCCTAGCAGTAGATTGTGTCAGACAAGGTTACCCGACTACCGTTCACATCCTCGTGGACAGTCTGGGCCAGTTTGTTCGCAAGTTTCTGGTTCCCTGGCTGAAGAGACGGGGAGGATGGGTAAGTCATCACTGCTGCCTAATAATGGTTACTTAATGTGTTTTTTTTTTTTTTTAACCTGGCATGTGAACAAGATGACATTTGAGATGGAAAAAGAAGAAAACCACTGCTTTGATTGTTTTTTCTCATGGGATTAAAACTAGCAGCATTCTGGTGTTTGAGCTCTTCCTGAAGCTAGATGTCAAATGTATCTTGGTTTCATGTTTGCTTTCATAAAGCCCTTATAGTCTTTTTTTTTTTAGTTTTACAGAACATATGATGCTATGTTTTCATTTCAAACCTTTTATTTAAGCCTCAGAAGGTGCAGGTTTCCCTCATTCCCAATGATGTGGAGATGCAAACACAGAGCACAAATAAAAAAAACAGAGACAGGATGACTCTGAGTAAAAACTATCACACGCTGTGGAAAAGTGGTTTGCGATCATTGCTCAGAAAGGCCTTCTTAAAATACCTCAGTTTAATGTTAGCTATCTGATGCAAAGTTCTGCAGTCAACATAATGTTCTACTTTGGTTATTCTTGTCTCAAATAGGACATACTTGGTCAGACACACAGGAATGTTTTTGTTTCCTCAAAGCTAATCTAGAAAAAGAGCAGAAGCCCAGGGATAAAAATACCGGGAAGGACTTCATGTCTCGATTATTGTGGGGAATTTGTAAGCAACTAAAAAGCTACAATTCAGTTTGAAACTTTTTTAATAAAAATATTACAGTGTTTGGATCAAGATGTGCGTTTTTCTCCCATCTTTTTCAAAGATTTATAAGCTGGATATCTAATATGCAGCTAAATGGCTATACTGCTATGTCAGCCAGTCAATTTTTTCCATTAACTTTGGTCTGGAACAAAATATCACATCACATATCAGAATAAATAACAGAACCTTAAGATGAAATGGAATAACTTTGGTGATCCCTTAGCTTTTACTGCCCTTTAGTTTGTGACAAAATGATCAAATACTTTCCCATAAGTCTCGGCCTATTTTGAGTTAAGAGCTAATTAGCAAACGTAGCAAGAGGTTTATATTAAATGGTGTCTGTGTTTTATATGATACTGTACCTCCTAAACATCCCCAATTGTAGCACTTTGACTGTAATTCCTAGCATGTTAATGTTAGCATTCAGGTTTTGAATCGCATCAAGTTCCTAGGGTCCTCCGTTCCCAAGCCCAGTATCTTCTTAAACTGTCACAATCGGAGACTTTTTATGTTCAAATTAAAAATCATTTGCCTGTTTTTAATTATTTAATGAATGTTTAAGGGTCAACTTTTTTTAAATACCCCACATTTAGCCAAAAACTGTTATTGAAACATACTTAGAAGGTTTTTTTTCCACTTTGACATAAACGTTCACCATGTCAGCACAGATTTTTTACCAGCAACCTTTGTTATTTTGCAATGAGTTGCAATAACTCTAAAAATCTCTTACATTGTTAGTTAACATGGAACAGTTGAGTTAGAAAGACCTAACTACATGTCAGCGTGCTAACATAGCGTTTAGCCCAAAACTAAAACAGAGACTGGTGTGGCTGTCGACTTCTTGTGGGTAATTCACAAAGATTGTCTTGTGATTGCTGATAGAACCATGGATCACATATTTACTTGCCATGGCTAGATATCTGCACTATCTCAAAGTTCAGTTTATAAAGGATGTAGCTCTAAAATAATGCACCCTTAAAGTTTGCAGCTGAGTTCAGTTCTGTCTTGACTTGCGTCTTATCGTTGAGAGGAGCTGTCAGCCCCGTCACTCTCTGCTGCACTGTCATGCTGATGGAGCTCAATTCTATCCATATATAGAAGTGAAGCTGGGAGGAGAGTGAGCCGCTCTCTGTCCAGTTTATTGTGAAGTCCAAACATGACAGATGTGACACCAGTATCATTGTCTGTAACGCAGCTTCCTTCCTGTAGCTAGTCAGCAAGAGCAGCTGGTGCAGATAAAACAACACTCTCGCCCCGCCGCCTAATGGTGTCTGAATCTATCCGCTGCCAAGCGCCTGCAAATAGACTCATACTTTTTCAGACTGATTAAACCCTAGATTGTTATTTATTTATTGTATTTGTCAGGGACAATACATATAGGCATTGTTACATCTAAATCTATTCTTTTTATTATATTGAACTATTCTTTTTATTATATTGAACTATTCTTTTTTTGAGGAGGTCATTGATAAAATGTTATTGTGTTTTGTTGGCTGATGAATGTACCTGCCAGTAGCATCATTTTGTCAAAAGATTAAAACCGTATCACATGAGAGGCGGTGGTGTAGTACAGAATATGAGCACAGAGCTGATACTGAGTTCAACATCATGACCTCAAGTGACATATTGCGTTCACACAACAGTTATGCAAGCAGCACTCTGAAGTGAAAAATGACTGATCAGTAATACATTACTTTTAGCTCCGCCAACTCATCTAGTTCCTTAACTTAACTGAAACTAGATTGTTTGTTTGTTGATTGTTTGTAAGTGTGAGTGCGAGTCTGTAGTGTGAGTCAGATGCATCAGATTGATTAGTAAAAACACACTGTATTTTACATTGACTTCTTTTTTTTAAATACCTTTTTTATTTGGCAAAAAAAGTCCTGAAAGTTAAAACTGACTTCAAAGTATTCTAACTCTTAAATGTCTTTTTATCAGGCGGAAATAACAAAATGTGTGGTGAAGAAGGATCTAACGCCTGAGCAGCACTGGCTGTCGTCTAGCATCGATTCCCTGAAGTATTTCCTTACTACAGTATACGTCTACATCATGAAGGAGCAGTGAAGGGACGAGGTCGAGCGTGCAGGAGTCATCGTCGTCATTTGTTACGAGATTGGAATCTCAGATGTGTCAATAATAATGGAGGGCATATGAAGGCTACACTTAACGAGGGACTGAACCGTGCAATCGCTGAATGTGCACCAACGAGTGCTTCATCACCATTGTGTGTGTGTGTGTGTGTGTGTGTGTGTGTGTAATGTTGGCCTGTAATAAGTCCATCAGTGATTGTTTTTCATCCAGACAGCAGTCACATGGATATTTAACAGCGCCAGGCCGCCACATATTTTCACAGCTGCGCGATAAACCAGGCTTCTGCAGTGTTGTAACTGTAATGTATGATATAGTTCAGGTTGTTCACGCCCCTGCCATAAACTGTTTGATGCGTCATGTGATATTTGTTTCAGAATATAAACCTGAAGGAGCCAGTTTTGTACAGAGAATTCATGCTTTTCCACCTGTGTCTTTTTGACGAGACAAAAGGCATTTAATCCAAGCAGAATTTAAAAACCTTAAGAGTGAATGTTTGTATCAACTGGTTAAACTCCATGGCTTTGATTTATTATCACTATTGCACTACACCAAAGCACAAACAGTGTTGTGACCTAACAAACTCTCAGCTGAAACCTTAGACACTCTTAAACAAGAGAAGTGGTGTCACATTTTGCCCACTTTTGGCCAAAGAACAGAAGGATGGAAGAGTGGTGTGTGTGATGCATCGATGAAATTTAACAGCTGTTGAATTCCTTTTTTTGATCTGTAAATAGTTTATGATTTTATTTTTTTATGTCAAAGAGTTTTTAAAGTTTAAAGCCGCTGCAGTATGAACACAGGATGATTGTGTGGAACGCCTGATGGTTGTCACTTTCTGAGTGTTAATTTATAAATGTGTGTCTGAATGTTTTTATTGAATCCACAATAAACTTAAAAATCTGCACCAATTCATTAATCTGTGGGTTGTTTTATAATTATTGTTAACATTCAATGTTTCATATTACTTTTGCAAAAATAAAATCCATCAGGACAGAAAGAGAAACCCATCAACATTAGTAATTAAAAACAAAGGAGATGAATACATATTCAAAATAACATTTTATTATTTTAATGTAGCTCATTAATGACAACATCCACGAGCCTTCAGACTTAGAGACATAAAGTGAACTACCTGATACCTATGAAAGAATCCCAAAAGTTTGTTTTTACCTCCTTTAATTACAACCACAACCACAACATCCAGTGTAACATTTCCTCTCCCTCATCAGGAGGATACAGCAGTTACTTTAGCTTTCAGTCTTAATGAATTAGTGCAATGAAAGCTAAAGACAATAGCACACTGAACTTAGCATTAATGTATCAGTGCTTTCAAAGCTGTACATCTCCACAATTAAATATCTGAACAACAAATGTAAGGAGAACATAAAGTTTACTAAGCTGAGGGTTATTTAGTATAACAGTTTAATGAATGTGTAATCTTTAAATATTTGTATATGTTTTGATTAAATGTTCCCTGTGCAGTTTAAGTTATCTAAAAGTGTTATGGACCTGATTTTTCTACATGTGGGTCCAATATTGTTCTTAATTGAGAAAGAGCAACAAGTGATGCCCTACATAGTCCTGCTAAAGATTGCCAACAATCTCCGCCTGCTAATATTAACTGAATATGCTGCAAAGACAAAAAGCACAAGAGTGCAGGTAGGTAAAGATGAATGTAAACAAAAGAGCATTTAAAAAAAAAAGGGCTTTGAAGTGATTTTATGATGATTTTACGATGACAAAAATTTTATGATGACAAAAATTGAAGGGAACTGTAACATTTATTCTTCTGTCCTCCTGACGAGCCTGAACAAAAACCTAGTAATAACTGTATTGAGTTTTTTGTAAGATATGCCTTGTGGTTATTTTTGAAGCTGATTGACTTTTGTGAATTTAACAGACTAATCACACACCATGACAGGATTTCTTACAGTGCATATCTTTGCATTGAAGCAGATCATTATCTGACTCCGCTGTGGTCGTTGTGTTTTAGTGATATTTTTCTTCTTTGGCCCTAGGCATTTCTATTTAAAAGAAACCCTTCAGCATGATGACTCAAGATGACCGGCGGTAGGTTATGTGCAAATGCTGCATCAGTGGCTGGTTGTCAGTCGCCATGGAAACTGTCTGCTCCAGCTTCCCATCTGGTCGCAGCTGAAACACTCGAGAAATCTGAAAGATGTAAAAGAACATGCAAGGTCACTTTTTTTTAATTGAGTCAAACAAGCTCCAGAGGAAACGTGATGTTTTGTGGGCTTTGTCATTACACATACGTTTAATCTAAGTGAGAAAAGTAACCAATGAATATTGATGATGAGCACATGGTGCGTGATCAGATCCCCAGGTTTACCTGCTGTACATGTGGCTCCCTGGCAAAAGAGATTCTGGCCACAGCCTGGCTCTGCAGGTTCAGCTGCTGTCCTGTCAGCTCACCTTCCTCAATCTCCACCAGACCTGCAGGAAAGCAGGTCTTTAAACATTTGTAAATAAAAAATGACGTTATATCTGAGTATTGAAGTCTTCAAACAAACATTCAAATACAAAAATAATGATACTTAAAATGCATAAGTAAAGGTGGCAAAAACATACACACAAAAATTGTTTATTTATGCTTCCATCTGGATTATACTTGTATTAGACTCAATCTTATAAAATATATGCTCAGTACATCTTCAAAACACTTGGTATGTTCTCACTGAGTGACTGATTGCCTCAAAATACTTCACATACCCAGCATCTGCACATCTGGAATAACACCAATTTTCTCAGAAATACATGTGAATACCTCCCATGACATGAACAATAACCACCTGAGTTCTGTGCTATGATGAACGCCACTCTGTTGGTTCCTGGCTGCATCCGAATGAAGCCACTCTCCCTGTGCAGAGGCTTCTTGGTCTCTGCATTGAAGGCACTAAACCTGTCAAGTACAGAAACAGTGAGAAATAAGATACACAGTAATTAATTATCAGATTAAATCCATATTTATATAGTCGACCTTTCTTGCTTTCACTGTCATAGATTTTCTGTAAAGTTGAATAAGAACTCTTGGAAGCATATGGCTGAGTGTGAAACAAAGACCACAAACACTGAATAGGACTCATAGTGTAATGTTGCGTTTTTAACTCTGTAAAGCACCTTGAGTTGCTTTTCAATGAGGTGCTCTATAAATAAACTTGCCTCGCCCTGCTCAAACTAGCAGAGATTTAAACAACTACAGATGAGTGCAAGTGCCTTGTATGAACATGTCAAATAGAAAGGATCCACCCTTTGAAAGAATTCATAATCTCCAACAATGTTACCATGCAAATGTGTTTGCCGCTATCTATTGAAACTGTCACAACCCTTGAAAATCTTGGTTTTGCTGCCCTCTTGTGGTTCACCTCTCCTCCTATTGCAGTGTTGAAGTACCATTCCTGAGAGTGGTTGAAGGTGGGAAAATATTTACTTCTAAAAATACCCTTTGGTTGTGCTGTGAATGGTTGTGCTGTGAATTGGGATTAATGTTTGTTTAAATGATTGTGATTGATTTTGGTAATTATGAATGAAGCCTGTTATAAAATAACCTCAGAAGTATAAAATAACCTACATGAAGTTGATGACTGGTTGTCCAACGTGGCTGAAGTTCAGTGTCTCTGTGTAGTGGAAAGGTTTTATGGTGGGGAAGCAGCCCTCTCCAGGCTCATCTGACTCCCAGGTGCCCAGAAGCCAGTCTAGAGGTAGCAGGGCTGGATTCAGCTCCACTGCAATGCAAAAACAGAGAAGCAGTTTATAAAGAAACAAGACAAAAATTAAACTGTATTTACATTATACCACGACTTTTCATTGGGACACAGATATAAAAACATTTCTTTTTCTACACATAAATGGAACAATTCAATTTAGCATCTGAGAAGACATAGTTAAATTACATTTTTAACGAAAAACGAATGTATCCTGATTCATCTGATGCAACAATGAATCGGTCCGTAGACCGCACACATGACTGATGTGTTAAACATAGTGCACACTGGACACTTTGGAACATCCTCACCTGTCATAACAGGAAAAGCACAGGTGTGACTAAAAACATCTGCTCCACTGTCTTAAATTGTCTCAGTGTGCTAATCAGAATCGGGGTTTATTGCCAAGTACATTTATACAAGGAATTTGACTTGGTGTACTGGTGCTAAACAATTAACAGGGAAATAAAGCAGAACAAGCAACAACTTAAATAATACAATATAAGAAGCTATTACAATATATAAAATATAATTTAAAAATTTAAAATTTAAAAATTAAAAACACTAAATGTACAAAAGGTGCAATGTAGGAGCATGTAAGAAAGATACATTTTTAAAGTCCAGTGGGCGTTAATGTAACGCATTAAGAACTGTTCAGCATTCACATTCACTAATGATAGTGTGACAGTAAACCGACTTGCAGAATACAATTCATGAGTTTTTATCATTAACATCTATGTAAATCTTATCATGCAGTGCGAAATTTTCAAATTTCAAATTACTTTTTACTTATTACTCGGTTTTGAGCTCCACTCGACATCTGTGCAACACAATCGCGTTGTTTACTCCTGTGCAATGAAAATAAAAAAATGTTTTCTATTCTATTGTTATTTGAGTACAATATATCCTCCAATTACTCATTTTTAAGATGTTTTTTTTTGTCTTGCCATGTGCTGCAGCAAACAACGTATTTTATGCCCTGCCTTTTTTTGTGTAAATAAAAGTTTCTCTGAGCTCTTATTTATGTGCTGTTTATCTCCCATCGTGTGGCTGCCTGATGTTGTTACTCTTCACTAAAAATCAACACTAAATTAAAAGGTGTAAGTGCTGAACGCATCTTGCTGGTATGTAAAGTAACCATGATGCGCCGCAGTCTCTTCCTTTCACCACTTGGTGGCAGTAATCCTGCAGTATGGTCGGAACTTGGCAGATACCAGAAGAAGACGACACTGAGCTATTAGCACAGGAAGGTGACTGTATTACATGGCAATCTTATGAAAATCAAAACGCTTGTAAAATAATGCAGCTGACAAAAAAAAACAAAAAACCTTTAACTATCGATCCGCCGAACACGATTATTAGTACTCATTGTTTATCATGTTGTATCACAGTGGAGCTTACAAACAACCCGGGTCTGTCCGAGGTTTCAATGTGTTCCCCTTACGGAGCTTAAATCACAATACACCGCATTTTGTTCCTCTGAATAAACAAACACACGAAAACAAGTCAATGGTAGGCTTGAGTTATATTTTTTTTAAAAGTAACGTAAAGACTCGGGGTCTGTGGTCACCTTGACGCTGCAGTCAGGTTATCAAAGTTAAATTGACACAGTTTCATTAAGCTGAAAAATGAAAACATCATCGTCCTACCTGTTTGTTGAACAGGACACGCCATTAAAACACCAAACTGAGTGAGACGGAGAAGCCAGTTTCATCAAACTTCCGAGTTTAGTGTTTATAAATTATAGTTGCACTGCGACTGTGTGTTTGTTGTGTGACGTATTTTTTATAGACGGCCGAAATAAAGAAGGGTATCTTGGGAAATGTAGTACAGAATAAATGTAAATGCAGCTGGCATCAATAGACTTGCACCATTACAGAAAGTATAACGTATTTTACCACGCATTGATACAGGAGAATAGTTGGATTAAATAAAGCACACTTTATTGACATCTTTCATTGCACTAAGCGTGATATTACAATATTTGCTCATTTCTTCTCTGCTTAAACAAGATAAGAGAACCCCATTTTATAAAACCTCGACAGTCAAAATGGCAGAATTGAATTAATGTTTTCTTCATTCCCCTATGAATTAGTACAAGGGGCAATGGTTTGTGGTTTGTGATTGATGGTCCTAAGCCTTGCTCTTTTTGCAGTTCTTGAGTGCGTCTGCCAGGGCATGCAGTGCCAAGTCAGCATTAGTCTTCTCACAGTTGTATCCCATCAATCCGATCCTCATCACCTAATGAACAGAGAGGTGCAAAGAACAGAGCGTCAGAGCGAGCAGTGACTCAGCAGCATAAATGAGAGGCCTAACTGATGACATGGGTCTGAAGTAAATGTTTGTCTCTGTTGAATCGGGGTTATAGTTGCAATTAGGTTGATATTTTTGGTCTATAAAAATGTATTCTATCTAAAAAGATTCAGTATAGTTTTAAAATAAAAGCAGCAGCTCACCATGCCGATGGAAGGGCCTAGGCCTCCTGTCATCTCCATTTGGTGGTGCTTCATTATGTAGGCCAGTAGCTCCCTCCATTCATAGCCATCAGGGATGGCAATGGTGGTGACAGAGGGGAGCCTCAAGTCCTGCATTGACAAGTCACAAATTCAAGTGTTTGTTGTTTTTCTGCACAGATTGCTAATTACCCTGCATGTTTTTTTTTTTTAAATCTCTCACCCTATCAGGGATGAAGAGTTTAAGACCCAAGTCCTCTAGTCCTCTGTACAGGTAGGCTGCCACCTCCTTGTGTTTCTTCCAGGACTCCTCCAGTCCCTAGAGGGAGACAAAGATCCATCCCAAAATGATTTTCAGTTAAAGGTATACACAGTTTCTTTCCCACATGAGATTTTATGTCTGAACGAGCATAAAAAGTCGACATACAGCTTCCCACAATGGTAAATGGAAAATTGAAAGTTAAATAGCCAAAGCCTGTTTAGCACAATGATATGGAGGGCCCCAAATAGATCCCCAAATCTGTACCGGCACTAAATGCCTTGCTGTAAGTTAAATACTCTGTAGAGGAGGTGTTGGTATCATGACACATTTGATAAATCATGTATAAATGTAAATAACTGTAAAAGCTATTGAGTCAAATGTATTGATTGATTTAGCAGTTGTGTAGCTGTAAAATATTATTTTACCTTCTCAGCAAGAATTGCCAGACTCTCTCTCAGGGCAAAGAATCCAGACACTGGACCAGTGTGGTGGTATCTGAAATCCATACATAGCACACGTTATTCTTATACTGTATGCAAGTGTCAAACACTTTTATGAACCCTTCAAGCACAATCCAACAACTTAGATTTCAAGTGTTTAAAAACAGGAAGCAAAAGATGCAGATTATTATACTAGATCTGCAGCAGTCTTAAACCTGGTTTGTCCTTATAAAGAGAATAAAAATAGACTTACATTCTAGCTGGTTGGCCGTCACAGCCCCAGTAGTTAGACAAATGTGTCATATCAAAAAGGTAGGATACTGGTTTGGTCTTTCTGTTAAACATCTTGTGGCTGTGAAAGAAAAAGAGATATCTGCTTCAATCGCTTTTCTGTCTCGTTTTTATAACAGTGTAGGACTAATCTATGGAAAAATGCATGCTGAAAAACCCCACAGTGCCTCCTCACCATGCTCTCTCATTAAAAGAGACGGGTGCTGTGCCAGGAGGTGCATTCAGAGCCTTCTGAGATCCAGTGTACAGGATGTCAATATCTGGGAGGGCAGTGAGAGGCAGATTATATCACACGCAATCACATGGCTGGAGGTTTACAACATTTCATCCTTTATCTGTTTCTCACTTTGCTTGTCCATAAATATTGGTGCTGCACCAAGAGATGCAACTGTGTCAACCAGGAAGAGGCAGTTATGTCTGCAGAAGATATGACAGTCGGTAGATTGAATTATGACATATTTGGTGCTTAGATAAAACCGTCATAGTGTGTCTGAGGCTCACTTTCTGCAGATGTCTCCAATGCCATCTACTGGGTGACAAAGGCCAGCAGAGGACTCTCCGTGTGTGAGAAAGAACAGCACAGGCTTGTGTTTTGCCATGGCCTTGAGACAGAAGTAAGAAATAATAATAGTACCACAATTTTCCTATTGTGTTTTGCTGTATAGATAATTTCATTCATGATGACATGACATTCTCTTGTGGTCGCTTTGTGGGCTCCTCAAGAATCGTTCAGGTTACCTGCTCAATTTCCTTATTGCTGAAATATCCTCCAGGTGTTTTGACCATTCTATGTACATTGGCACCTAAAGAGATAGATAGAAGATTCAGTCAGTGAATTTAGGTGTTTGTCTTCTTTAGAGACCCGATGGCAGCGTGCGTAAAACTGTGCGTAAAGACGTACCTATTCTTTCTGCAATTTCTGCGACGCGCTCTCCCCAGATCCCGTTAATGGCAACGAGCACACTCTCTCCGGGCTCCACCGTATTGAACACTGCACACTCCATAGCCGCGTGACCGGAGCCACTCATAGATATCGTCATGTTGTTGTCTGTCTGAAAGGCATACTGGATCCCTTTCTTGATGTCGTCCATGATCTGAGAAACAAAATGAAAGCACAGTTTTAACCGACTACATCATGTTAAGCTATATGTTTAATTACTATAAACTAAGATAAAGTATTTCTGCCGGTTTGTAAATGAAGCTTAATCCCAATTACGAACAAAAAAACGACTCATATTTGTTCCCACTGAAGTATCGATTTGGTCGGTTTATTAGGAAGTCTATGAGAAAGTGGAGAATTTAAATGCTATAAGGCTTGTATAAAGTTTGTGCCCTTAATTGTTTGAAAGCTAGGCCAATATAAAGTCTTATAACTCATCTCAGTAGGCTTTAGAAAAACTTCCAAACAAATGTTCTCGAGGAAAATTGATTAAACCACAAAGTTAAAATGTAATAAACTAAACTATGAGTAGTGATAACTTTACACTCCTAGATTTTCTTAAAACTTGTCACAAAAAAAATACTTTTACTGAAGTTCAGTACTTGAATAAAATTAGTATTTCCACTTTGTAGCTGCTTTGAAAATCAAAGACACTTTTACCTCATACATTTCTGAATGCAGGTGACCTATGATCGGCCTGGAGCCTGCTGCTAAGATACGTGGCGGGACGTTTGACGGTCCCGGTCCGAACAGGTATCGCATGGGAGTCTCTAGCGGCCGCAGCATGCAGGCGGGCGGCGGGATGCTGACGGAGGACATGGTGCGGTCTATGCGCTGAAGCAGTGGCGCGCTCCGCGCTGTCAGCGGACTGTCGAGGGCCGCAGCTGCCTGCTGGACGAGCAGCGCGCTCCGGCTGAACAAAGCCCGCTGCATCACGGCTGGTTTCCTAGTTCCTGAGAAGCCTGCACCAAGAGAGATCAGCGCAGAAACTGAGCCTGTCTATGACTTTTGGGTGAAGATTTAAAACAAATAGGTCTTTGACCTGTTGGCCACAGCGTCTGTGCCTCCCCTTATTGCAAACTCTGCCCTTGACCGCAGGCAACAAGGGACACAATGGCATTTCAGGTTATTAATTAAGATGAAAAAGTGAGTTATTCAGAATATTTGGTTTCTTTTTCAACATTTAGGCTAAAGGTTTTCAACTCTTGGTTATAGCCTACATTTCAGTTTTGAAAATGTGCTTATAATGGTCTTTCACCCTTTAAGGGTTTATTTTGAAATATTCAGCAGAAATTACTTTGAATTATCTTTTTGTATGGACAATACAGGAAGGCTATCCCAGGTTTCAAATATCTTTTAAAAGCAAGATTAAAAAATCTGGCTAATGCAAATGCTCACCAGTGCCTACTTTTGCACTGTTGTAAAAGTTAGAAACATTTGTGATTAATTCTTGTTCCGTTGACCTTTGACTTTGCGTAAAAAAGTCTGGCACTTTGCAGCTTAAAAACTGGTTCAGGTCAGTTTGCATGTGGCTTTGTTGATTTTGTTTGCCCCTTCTGTTACAGCAGCATGAGGTTTGTAAAGAGGAGTCTCCTCTCAAAGAGCCAATCTGCTCTCTCAGAGCAGGAAAAGGGGGCGAGCAGTCAAAAACAAACACACATCAGCCATTACGCAAGGCAAGGCAAGTTTATTTCTATAGTACATTTCAACAACAAGGCAATTCAAAGTGCTTCACACAAGACATCAAAAGCATCATGACAGAGGAAAGAAAAGAAACATTGAAATAGAAAATTAAAAATCACTGAAATTATTAAATCTGAACATATGTTCAAATAAAAATAATTGCAATAAATAAAGTAAAAATATAAAAAGAGTTAAAAGTTACAGTGCAGAGTTAAAATTTAAAATCTTATTAAAATTGTTTAATGAAAGGCAGCTGTAAACAGGTGTGTCTTCAGCCTCGATTTAAAAGAGCTGAGAGTTTCAGCAGACCTGCAGTTTTCTGGGAGTTTGTTCCAGATATAGGGAGCATAGAAACTGAACGCTGCTTCTCCATGTTTGGTTCTGACTCTGGGGACAGAGAGCAGAGGACGATCTGTACTTTTTCACTTGTGGAAAGATGCAGAACAGGTATTAAAAAACACAGTGTGTGTAATGAACAATATGATACAGTCAGGTAAAACATTTCACAAATATCACCCTTCTCTCAAAATTAGAGATACAATAAGTAAATATTTAACAAGTATATGGAAAGCATAAAAATAACATCCGTTTTGTCTCTTGTAGGTAACTTTGAAGGGTTTGTTTTGATCAGTGTGCTTTTTTGTGAAGGGGGCTTTCTGCTATCAGTTGGGAGGCACTTAGCTCTATGGTGCAAAAGTTGCTGTGGCCTGTTGTTCTTAACACATTACAATTCAGATAGGTGGACAGCCATCTGCCTCAAAGGAATGTGTTAAAAGATCAAGTCAGATGGATGTACAGACAGATTATTCATAATAAACATAACTTTAATTGTGAGAGATTTTACTAATAGGGTTACAATTATACAATGAATTAAAGTATTACTAAAAGAAGCAATTGAAACTATGCTTTTTATTGAAACAAATTTATGTTCACAGTTTCAAGTTTAACTTTTTTTTAAGCATAACTGTAGGTCACCAATGTAATATGCAAATGATGGTATGTGATAAGCAATCAATCATTGAAGTAAGGTTCTTTAGGATCTTAAAGATTGAATGGTTGACATATAACACCAAAACTTGGAACTATTCAGGTCAAACATTTACATCCAGCTTTTTCTCTGATGTTAAAGATTGATTTTGTTTTTTATTGAATTCATGTTATTTTAAACAAATAAAAAAATACGCTTAAAGAATCAAATGAAAACAAAGGTTTAAAAAAAAAAAAGAAATATGGATTTCTGTCAGTTTTACTGCCGTCTCATATTGCTCCCAATGTGTCAGAGCTAGCAGGATGATCAGAAGGTGCCCCTCTCTGAGCCCTGCTGGGTAAATGATTACACCTCTGGTAAATAAATGGGACTCGTTGTTGGCCTTTACCCTGAACTGAAGACTCCAAATCTGTCCAAACAGAGCATGAGGAGGAGTTAGGGGGCAGAGAAGGAGAGCTATACAAGTTTATCCACTGGGGGCACAGTAGAACTGTCTATCCTCAAAATAGGATTTTATGTACAAGGTCAAGGCCAAGAAAATCTCCTCATCCTTAAAATGACTAAAGAATGGAATTTAATTCTCATAAAAAGAAAATATTTACTATAAAAACTGTCATTTGAAAATGAAATCTTCTTAATTAGTAGTGTCAAATCCAGCATATCAAGGATTTATACGTTTTCTTAGGTTAGTAAAGGTAACAGGCATTATCTTAAATTTCCTTTTACTAATCATGATGGTGTCAGATGCTTTATAAGTGGGCACTCTGTGTGTACACAAATACTGGACAATTATAATACTTGAAGTCTTTTTTTTGTTATCCGACTCAACACCTTTGATAAAGAAAAATCTCTCAAAGCCCACTTGCTTCCCCGTTCTAGGCTTGTGACAAATCACATGAATACACATGGAGTTTAATCATGGGACATAAAAGTTGAGCTCATTTTCCAGTCAGTCATGTTCAGATTAAGCTTTTAGGGGCTCTGGAGGTATAAATCTCCCTCGATAGAGGCTAACCTTTGCAACTATGCACACTGTTGAGTCTCTGCTTTGTTATACTGAGTTTTTTTTTTTTTAAGTTAAGGTTATATTAAGGAAATGCAGCAGTGTATACATGCTTACAATTAGTCACAGCTTTATCAGCTGTGATTGATTCATTAATATATTAATGATTACTTCAACCTTGGGTACCTTAAATGTATTTTGATGTAAAAGAATGAGTGCAAGTCTTTAACTTTTATTAAAGTGCACTTGATACGTCTCATATTCTAACAGTATTAAATTCTCAGGATCCTCCTTAGTTATCATAAATATAGCATGGAATATTGGATCTGCCTGTTGTGCCTAAAGCTTAAACATCAACAGCTCTTGGACAACTGAGCTGTCACATTATGGTTTTATCTGCATAAAGAAAGTGACATTTTGTTGAGCCTGTTATGTGAGCTGTTTTTCAGGTCAATAACCAAACTCATAAATAGGGCTCATTTGTTGTCTGAAAAAATCTGTCATATTTCTGCACCACTGGATTACATTTCAGAAGCAGAGTTTTGATCGAGACACACTTGGCTTTAATTCGGCAAAATCGGTCTCACCCTCACTATTAACCTCTTCACTTCAGTGTTCACCCATATCTGTCCCTGAGGCCTGATATGCTGGCCCTCTCTCTCTCCCTCCCTCTCCCTCCACCTCTGCTGTGCTGCATCTCTCTTTTTCATGGCTGCCTGCTGATGATGCTGATGCTGATGTCATCACCGCCTCCCAGCATCCCTGGTACAGCAGCACCGCCATTTTCCTTTACTTCAGACCGACTGACGGACTTAACCGCTGGAGCATCCGCACCCATCCACCCCGTTATCCATCTGGCTCCTCCTCTATCCCCCCCCCCCCAGTCTCCCACTCCCGTCTGTGATTGACGCACCGCTGCGTTCACAGCTCAATTCGCCTCTCTCTCTGTCTCCGGCGGATTCTCCATGTATGGATGCGCCAAGGAGAAGGATGCTGTAGGCTGAACCGAAGACGGAGAGAAATACAAAAAAAAAAAAACACAGGCTGCTGAAGAGATTCAAGAAGGAGGGAGCGGGGGATTCTGGTTTTGAATGGGCAGAGAAAGATTCACCCTCTGCGGTTGTCGAGTGTGAGCTGCTGAGGTAAGAGACGGCCTTTCCGATTTGTGTTTTTTTTTTGTTACGGCACAGCATCGGCGTTTCTGCTCTCACGCCTTGATGTAGACAGCAGGTGTGCGTTGCGCGTGTTGGTCATTTCGAGGCCTTTCTGTGCGCGCGAGGAGATATGAGGGCGCTGCGGCAGGGTGTTTGATTATTTAATTTCTCTGCTGTCAACAATTGTCTTTATAAATAACTCAAATGTACCTTTCCAGAAACGCCAACCTGAAATGAAAGTACATCAAAAATCAGCTCGTCAAAGATTTCAATGCCATTTCAGGCTGGATAATGTGCGCTGACCTCGTTTCTGACGCAGTGTTTGGATGATTTCGTGTTTACGCGGCCTGCCTCTGAGGTGCGGCAGGCAAAGCAAGATGGAGGAGGCAATATTTACATCGCTGCACCGCCATTGCCCTCCCAAAATGTCTCATATCTCCCACCAGCGTTTATCCTGTTGTTCAGATAACGTCGTGTTCCCAAGTTCCGGAGGGTTGTTTTGTAGTTTTGTTATCGATAGAGGCTGAGAAGGTGGATGTCCGCAAGACCTACATTATTATCGGGTCATTAACAGAGATACACACCACCGTAAAGGTTTTTTTTTTTTTTAAGTGTAGAGACGAAGAAATCATTGCAAGATTATGTGGAAGCCTTCTCAAAATCCTGTCATTTTCCTCTGTGTAAGCAGTGACGAGATATAGGCCTAGTTCAATCACAAGATGAGTAGACCATGGGAGTGATGGCCTGAAAATAAGCTGCCATTTTAGTGAATTAAAGAAGGGATGCTCTCGATGTTTCTGCCAAATAATGACCCAGCCGTTTAGTCAGCTTGTTTCAGGAGCTGAGTGTCAGACTGAAGATGAACTGACAGATTCAAGGCCTGAAAATGGAGGATGTGTTTAGAGTCAGGGCTTAGTTGTTTTGCCATCAAGTCCCCGTCCTCAATATTAATCACGATAACAACAGAACAGGAATGATTTCAACCTGGTATATTTGCTGTGATCTTTTTAATAATCAAAGGTTTATGTAGGAGAAAACAAAAGCCCATACATCTGTATCCATACCTATCTCATCTTCCTGTACAGGTGCCTGTGTGTGTGTGTGTCTGTGTAACCACACAGATCTTTAGCTCTTCTGCTCACCCACTCACCC